GATCCAGACTCGACCCCCAACTCTCAGGCCGGGCCAAATCCAACTGCTCCCAATGCGTGTGTTTACACCTGCGTGGCTCCGGGTCCACCCAGGCCCACCTCGGTCCTCCCACCCCAAGGCTGGAGGCTACCTAACAATGGGATCCCAGCCAGGCCTCTCGACTGAGTTCCAGGCATCCTGCGGGGCAGCATTGGTTCAACCAGCATTCACTAGTGCCTACTGTGTGCCAGCCTCAGTGCAAGGCGCTGGGAATATAGTCGGAAACAAAATAAAATTCCTGCCTGGTGTGCAAGGAACAAAATAGAGTATGAGGTTAATAAAGTGTTTTAGATAGCACTCAGTGCTAAAGATAAAGATCAGAGAAACATGAAGCAAGTTGAAAGGAGGGAAGACCTGCTGGAGAGGTGACGTTTGAACAAAGTCCTGAAAGAGGAAGCCATGGGGATGCCTAGGGAAGAGCAGCCCTGGCAGGGGGAACAGCATGTGCAAAGGCCCTGAGGCTAGATCATGCCTGATGTATTAAAGCAGTGGTTCTCAACCTTCCTAATGCCGTGACCCTTTAATACAATTCCTCATGTTGTGGTGACCCCCAACCATAAAATTATTTTCGTTGCTACTTCATAACTGTAATTTTGCTACTGTTATGAATCGTAATGTAAATATCTGATATGCAGGATATATTTTCATTGTTACAAATTGAACATAATTAAAGCATAGTGATTAATCACAAAAACCATATGTAATTATATATGTGTTTTCCGATGGTCTTAGGCGACCCCTGTGAAGGGTCATTCAACCCCCAAAGGGTCGCGACCCACAGGTTGAGAACCGCTGTATTAAAGGAACCTCAGGAAGCTGGAACAGAAGCAGGGCAAGTATGGTTAGAAGGGGGTGAGGTGGGGTGAGGGGCAAGTCTCACTAACTCAGTCTAGTAGTGGACACCCCATTTCCCACGTCCTCATCAAAACTGGTGCCACACCCACACCCCAACACCCACATGCCCCAGGTCTGCTGTGTCCCCCAGGTGTTCCCCAGTTTACACAGGTGACCTCCTATGAGTGTCCTCACTCAAGGTTGTGTAGTCGTAGCCGCCACCTCTGACCCTGTAGGGTCCACACACGGGCCCCATTTCCTTCATTCCTGGGTTCACAGCCTCTGAGATGGGGACACACCTGACTCCCATGTGCACTTGCCAACCCAGAACACATCTCAGGTGTCCGCACATCACCCCTCTCTGTACTAAGTTCTATGACCTAACCCTCATGTCCTGGTGGCAACACGGGCACATGTCCATGGTCTTTATCATCACACACATTGTCTCGTTCACACATTCAGCAAACACTCCCTGAGCGCCTGTTGTGTGCCAGGAGCCGTTCCAAGCGATGGGGACACAGGCATGACCAACACAGACAAAATCCCTGCCCTCATGAGCTTGACATCCTGGTTGGGAAAATGGACGATGGACAGGTCAGAGGGTGATAAGTGCTTAGAAGGAACCTCAAGCCGGGAAGGGGTGGGAGTCCTGGGCTGGGGTGGGTGTTTTAAATAGAAGGGTCAGGCCTCTATTTAAAGAGAAGATGACACGTGAATGAAGACCTGAAGGAAGAGAGAGAAGGGGAAGAGCATTTAGGCAAAGGGAACAGCAGTGCAAAAGCCCTGAGTGGGAGCTTGCTTGATAGGCCCAAGGAATAGCAGGGAGGCCTGTGTGGCTGGAACAGTGAGCGAGGGGAAGAGTGGAAGGAAGGAAGAAGAGAAAGGTGAGGGGGAAATGTGTGCAGGACCCTGAGAACCTCCAGGAGGACTGGGGTTTTACTCTAACTCATGTGAGAACCAGGAGGGGTTCTGAGCTGGGAAAAGGCCCGTTCACGACTAAACTCACACATCAAGCAGGAGCTTCCAAGGGCAGCAGGGAGCAGGGTCCTCTCCTAGGCCCACCCCCTCCCAAGACACCAGGCCCCACTCTACAGAAAAGGACTGCATTCTCTGGAGCTGGAGTGTGTAACACCCACTGCCTACCAGGGTCTCAGCCTGAGGTGAGGAGGAGGCCGGGGAAGCCCTCCAGCCAAGGAGAGGCCCAGGTCTCCCACAGGACAGAATCGGCCTCCACCTGCCCTCCCACCCTCCTGCCCTCTCACCTCTCACGACCAAGATCCTGAATCCAGCGAGGAGGCCCGTAGCAGGCACAGAAGTCAGAGGAGGAGCCAAGGGTTCAGCAGGGGCCTCTGAGCAGGGGAAGGGAAGAGGCCAGTGAGAGAGCAGGGGGGAGGAGACTTGGTAACCCCCCAACCCTACCAGCCCCCCATCAGAGCCTGGGACTACAGCTGGGATGCTGAGCCTAGGAGCTCTAACTGTAAATATTTAGCATTTTCTGCATGAGAATTGAGGCCACATTGCCAGACCCTCCTGCCCAGGCCACCAGAGCCTGATAACACAGGTCAGTGCCCTGGACATTCCCCCCGTAGCAGAACACAGAGCGTGGGAGGCTGCAGGCCCCAGGAAGCCGGGGAGATCCAGCATCAGACACAGACACATGCACACGCACAGAAAAGGACAACAGCCAACGTCAGCAGTGGCACCTGCTGTGCATTAGGCGTGACTCTAAACGCTTTACACCTTTTATCTCATTTAATCCTTGCAGCCTGAGCTGGCTTCTATGCGTAGCCTCATCTTGCAACAGGGAAAACTGAGCCTCAGAGAGGGTGAGTGACTTGCTCACGGTCCCACAGGCCAAAAGGGTCCATGGTGGGATCTGGCCCAGCAGCTTGGCTCCAAAACTTGCACATATATATCGCGACAGTCACACACTCCTTTGTGCACATAACAAGACACGCAGACCGCTGCACAAAGCAGGAAAGATAGACAGACAGAATCTGTGTGTGCGTGTGTGTCTGGGTATTTGCCTGGCACGTGCATACACACGCCTTTTCCAAAGACATAACTGGAAACAGGACACAGATTCAGGCAGCAGTGTTCAAAATATGTTCACACACACACACATACATCACAGCTTAAAGGAAAAGATCCTGTGGACTGATTGTGTCTGCACCTGTGTGCCAGACACTTACACACACAGGTACATGCGGTCACACACTGACAAGCACAGAGATGCAGATCCGTGTGCTCCCGGTTGTCCAGTGAGACACTGATACCTGCCCCCACCCACACCCTAGTGCACGTGTTTCCATTTGTCCACACACTGTCACACTCTGTCACATCCTCACACTGGGAAAGTCATGCAGGGACAGAAACAGGCAGAAGTCATCATCCAGCCATTTTTCAGGGGTACGAAAAGACTCACGCAGAGCCTCCAGAGCACAGGTCTGGGATCTGCAACCCGTGCGAAGGCCTCCTCCACCAGCAGCCTTTCCTGCGTTCCGTTCCTACTGTCCTCAACTCGCAACCCAAGTGGACTCCTGGGCTGAAAGAGGAAATGGTCCTCCCAGATCTAAGAGAGGCTGCCAAGCTGGGCTCCAGCCTGGACTGGGGCCCCCCACCCGCAGCCCCCTCCAGCTTCCCCCATTGGCAGCAGAGAGAGAAAAAACCTCCTAAGTGACAGAGAGGCTGACATAAGGGAGAGTCTGAAAGACAGGGAAGGGGAGAGACGTGGGGGAAATGGGGAGACATGGGGA